GTTTAGGGGTTTAGGGGTTTAGTGCAAAAAGCTTTCAAACCTTGAAGCAGACTATACTATACCATACTGGTGTAGGGTTCAGGTTTAGGCTATACTATACCAAACTATACCATGTTATATTGCACTATACCATACCATATCATGCTACAGGTTGTATGCTGTACTAATACTCTAGTGCAGCATACCATAACACACTACAAGCACCCTAAGCCTCAATCGGGTGAAAGCAGCCCAGAAACTTGGAGCCACTTACCTTCAAGCATATAATGTAGGGGTCTGAACACTTAGAATAGGGTTTTGGGGTGTATTATACGACAGTCATAAGAAGGAACCCCCGCAATAGTACTGGTATTTATTGAGGCCCCTATGGTACCTCCAAGGCCCGAAGCCTGAAACCTTCAACGGTAGCCCCCTGAAATCTGCAGTGGGTGAGAAAGGGCTTATTTTGGTTTAGGGCTTAGGGTTTAGGGTTCGCCTGCTGACCTGACTCTGAGCTCCTGGCCCAAACAGTGCCGCGATGTAGGACAGTATACCTGTGTCAAAAAGAGCTCGCAGCCATTGCAGTTAGGTACTACGCGGACTTGAATGGCCTTCGTGCCATGTCCAAAAACCGTTGGCCACTGAATGCAGCATGTACCGTGGCCAAGTGGCTAATCAGCAAGAAGGTCCAGAAGAGCGTGTTGGCCTTGGCAAGCGGAAGCCAGGCACAAGACCTCAAGGACTTGCCAGAGCCGAAGCCGGCAAGCATGGGACCTCTGTTAGCAGGGGGTTTAGGGTTTAGGGTTTAGGGGTCCCGACCGAAAGACCCTAAGGTGTACCTGAACATGCCCCAGTTTCAGCCCTATATACTGATCTGGAACCAATGCGCAGTGTGCATGCATAGTATGTTGTTCGATAGTTTTCTGTTGTCTATTTCTGTCTTGCAGGCTCTGATTGTCACTTTCGTGTCTCTCTTGTGTATGTAACGTAACATAGGAATGGAATAAATAAATGGATACCTACGCAAAAGCCTACACACAAACAATGCAGCAATGGTTCAAACAGACACAAACAAACATGCACAAACAAAGAAAACAACCACAGAACCACACAAACAAAGACAGACACGAACAAAAACACAAACGAATATATAAACACACACTACCACACAAACAACCAACAAAGCAAACAAGCAACTACAAGCAAACATGCAAGCACACAAAGGAACAAACAAAAAAAACACGCACACACACACACAAAATAAGCAAACACAAACAAAACAAACGGACAACCAAGCAAACAACTACACACGCACACAGACAATTAAACAAACAATTAAACACACAAAGAAACGAACAAAGAAAGACAGGCACAAAGAACAAACCTAGCAAACACCAAAACATACACAGAAACAAACACAAGCAAACAACAGCACAGACACACAAACAGAAGCAACCAGCAGCAAACACAAGCAACCGCAAGCAAACACACAAACAAACACACAAACACAACACGACACAAACAAACAACCGCAACAACAAACAACAAAACGACACACAGCAAAACATACCAACAACGACAAGCCAATGAACCAATGCGACAACCGACCAGCCAGCCAGCCAGCCAGCAACCAAGCAAGCAACCAAGCAACCAAACATTCAACAGACAAACACACAAACGCACAACAACGACGAAACAAGCACAGAACCAACCAACGATCCACCGACCGACCAACCAAGCAAGCAAATAAACAACAAACAACCACAAAACAAAACAAACAAACAAACAGACAGATAAACAAACACACACACTCACAAACACACTGTTTACGCGGACGCGCACACACACACACAACCTGAAACAAGCAAACAAACAAAACACATATAAAAATACCAACACACAAAGAAAGAAACGAACAAACATGCAAGCAAGCAAGCGAGCGAGCAAGCAAGTGCCTCGTTTTCATTTCGTACGGAAAAGAACCGCGCAGCAATACGGAAAAATGAAGCCCAAACCGTAGAGGTTGGTTTTAGGGTTTTGGGTTACTGCCCGGGTATGTGTAAGGGTGGCTATATGCCGACGCCCAAAATACGGAGCCACCAGAACACTCGGTGTGCTGGCATATCATGGCCGGTTGAGAAACCCCTCCCCATCCGCACACGTCTTGGCGCCAGGCGCAAGACATGAGGCCAGAGACGAGCTTCCAGAGAGTCTTGAACTGGACCACCAAGCGCACCAGCCCTGGTTGTTCGAATTGTTGGTCCTATTCAGTCTGAAGCATGGTATAGTCTTGTACCTGCGTAAACAGACCCCAATGTCGGACAGCCCAGCTGTCGCTGGATGCAGCACCGATTCTAAGGCTCAGTTTTACACCGAGTAGCTTTCGGGACTTAACACCAGAATGCTCCAAAGCCCGGAACAGCGAATCCCTAGGGCCCTGAATTTACTCCATACCCATAAACCTTTCAGTAGGAGTGTATGGTGCTCATCTCGAAGGCTTTCGAGCTCAACTGAGGGTGCCTGGCACGCCAACCCTCAATCTGTCGGGGCAGAAAGTTTTGGGGCAATCTTTGGTCAATCTTTAGCAGAGCTGCTTGCGAGGCGAGCCAAGCGGAGGAGTCGAACCAGCCTCGATCCAAGATGCAAGCTGTGCTGTCCTTTCTGGTTTGTGCTATTATGATTGTTACAGCTGTCCTCATCTTTTGTGGTGAAAACATTTATGATGGATATTGTTATTGTTATATCCTTTGAATATTGCTTGATGATGATTAGTATCGATACTTGTTTTTTGTTGGGTGTCGGGCCTTGAGCCTTGAGATTTGTGGCCGGGCGCTGCTCATCTGTGCCCGAGCAAAAACGGCTGAATGCACTCGAAACGTAACGCAGAAGGTTTGGTGAATTTAATTAATTTTTCCATAAGACCCTTAAAATGCAAAAAAATACACACAATTTACCTCATAAAGCCCGAAGTAACCTTTGGATCGCCCCGAAACCTCGACCCAAGCCCGGAGCGCAAGCCCTAAAATGGAGAATCGAGTAGCATGACCTGCTTCAGGAACTCAATGTCAAGAGCTGTCCTGAGCGGAAGGTGGTGGAGCTCGCAAGAAAACACCACATCAAGAGACACTCCAAGACCAAACGCAACGAAATGCTATCCAAAGCCCTTGACGCCTAAACAACACCTGAGGCCTCAAAGCCCTGAGCCACGACTCCTTCCAAGCCTCAGCTTCTTCTCCCCTTAAGGCCCCGGAACCCCGAGACACTACATCCTTAATACGCGAATATCTCCAAATCCCTAATCTGACAGTGATCCTTTGTGTAGTGACCCTTTGTAGCAAGCCTTGTAATGAACCTTGTAGTACCTAATTTGGGGTGTATGAAAGAAATACATTCGGAAGAGCAAGAAATGAGGTTGGTAGTTCTTCCGACCCCCAAGATACTAACCAATTTCGAGGCCCAAATTGTTACCTATACTGTCTTGGAAGCTTCCTATTGTAATTATCGTATAATATATCCCCCCAAACCCTATTCTAATTACTAAGGCCCCTACATTATAAACCCTTATGGTAACCCTTATAGTATCCCTGTTAAGGAACCCTTTAAATAAGTCTTAAGGCCCCTATATTAAGTATATGAGGGACTACTTGGAGGTTCATGGGTAGTTATAAGCGGGGTTATAAGTAGGGTAACTAACCGGGTAACTATAATTATAACCCATATTAGAGGACTTATAACTCCACTTTTAACTGCCCATAAACCCTAAACCCTACACCCTATAGAACCCTTAAAAAGGAACCCTTAAAGGAACCCCATAACTCCAGTTATAACTGCCCATGAACCTCCAAGTATAAGGGATACATCCAAGCCCGACTTTCGGAGCTTCCAAGATCTGGATCCCCTTGAAAGGTATTTTGGAGACTTCACGGCTTAAGATTTTGGAGTTTTGCGTTCTACTTAGGGTTTAGGGTTTATGAATTTTTGCGTCTCTGAAGTTTTTTTTTCAATGTTTGGGGTTTAGGGCTTTTAGGCTTTGAGGCGCAGGGCTTTTAGGGTTTGCTCCGAGCCCTGAGATTGTCTCCGTCCTGGTCAGCCTTGTTTCTTACGCTTCCTATCATGTTTTCAAACCGGGGCCCTTGAAGGGAAGCTAACCCTAAACCCAAAACCCTAAAACCCTAAAGCCCTGAGCTCTAAACCCTAAAGCCCTGAGCTCTAAACCCTAAAGCCCTGAAGTGCTTGCAACCGGAGGAGCGTGGTCAGGATGAGGTCGATGGTGGCTGTCGCCACCAGAAACATGTCGAACTTCACCCAGTTACTCTTCAGGCAACCTAAGGTTTAGGGTTTAGGCTTCCTTTCAGGGTTCCTTTAAGGGGATCTATAAGTGGATCTATAAGCGCGTTAGGGGTTATGGGGTTTCGGGTACTAGGGGTCAGGTATTTAGGGTTTAGGCTTAGCGTGTTTAGGGCTCAGGGGCCCAAGGTTCCAAAGCCTAAGCCGTCGTTGCCTGAAAAGTCGGAGTTCAGCGCTTCCCGCCGCCCTATCCCGAATAATCTGATATCTATAGAATATACTATCTATCAAGTTACCATGTGCAAAAAAACGAATATGGATAGCAATCAGAATTATAGTAATACGAAGAAGAATGAACTCATGGTCCGCCATGCGTTCAAACCTCGGAGAAATACCAACCTAAAAATGTCTACAGAGAAATAGTTCTAAGAACCCGAAACCAAACCCACAACCGCTAGACACTAACTCCCGAAACTCTGAACCCTGAACCCTA